GAGCTGAAGAGAGGTAGGACCATAGGAGAAGGGCTTTAGTAAGGGAGAAGTGGGGGGATGGGGTCTCCTTAAGTGGGAAAACCATTTTGGAAGTGAGGCAATGAGACAAATAAACAATGCCTAGCTAGATTTGAAAACCAGACAGAACCATATTACTCCTATGGTTATAGTTTAGTCAGCTAGTTTAAGGAACAAAATATATGTCTAGCCATGGTTTATCTGAGAACATTTGGTTTTTGCCCAAGCTTTATGTGCGTAGCACATGGTAATTAAAAGTACCAGACTGGTAGAGCTAACCTTTTTGGATGTTTAACAGACATACTTTGAAGCCTATACTAATTTGGACAGAGGGACATAAAGGATAGTTTTTGTTCCTTGCCCTCCTAGGTCAACTAGTTCCAGTGGACTATGAATATCTCCTAAAATGTCCTGTAATTGTGGTAGGTCACCTGACCTCTTGATCAAGTCAGCCAAGGAGACCCTACCAGATGGACTTGAACCATTGTCCAGCCTACAAAGAGGAGGGTCAACACAGAGGAATCATTTCCTCCATGCTTCCAAGCAAAGCCAGCCACGGTCAAGTAGGACCTTTGACTTATCTTCACATAGGCGGAACTGGTAAAAGAAAGGAGCCAGGGGCTCCTCCCAAGCCCATGTGATCCCTGAGGAAAAGATCCTCAAATGACCTTAAGAGTAAAAATAAATTGGTTTATCTGGGCCAACTGCAGGGTCTTAAACAACCAAAAGGAAAGTAAAACCAAAGATGAAAGGGGCCAGTATAATTTTTAAGAGTCCAGATATATAGCTAAAGGCTACATAACAAGCAACAATGCCAGATAGGAGATACCTTCTTTTGAGTTGTTGACCAGGGTGGCCAAAGGGACTCCCAGATAGTAACCCAGCATAGAACTGGGAAAATGAACATCAGATCCCAATCTTATCTCAAGGAATATTGACTGATTGCTGCTAGATGAGGAACAGCTGACCTTCCTAAAACAAAGACCTCTAGATAGGCTG